CTGTGTAAGGAATGTTAGAGGACTTGGTGAAACTACAAAAGTCACTTCACCTGAGCAGAGGAGCTTCTTGTGGCTAGTGAAGTGCATGCCTTGACAGGGCCTTTGTATAAGCTTGGAAAGCTCACCTCAAGTTTATGTGTTACATAACAATATCAGAGTGGCTTTTTTCCAACGATAGTAACTAAACATTGAAGTAACTCTTATCCACACTTTGAAGTGGCATAAGCAGAGCATAGACTTCAACATTACAATGTGAATTGACAAATTGATACCTCAGTAAAGCTATTCACGCCAGACATCCAAAAACCAAAATAAAAGCAGTTTGTGAGAACAAATGATACATGTGCCACCTGAAAGTTGTGCACTCACCTATGAGAAATGCTTGTTGAGCAGTTATTCCCCAAATGTAGCTGAAAAATCGACTTTTCCTCCAGCACTGGGAATATCTTTTTTTTTTATAAGCATAATATGACTTTGTATGCTTGTGACCTAAATATCAATACCTATATCATAATCAAATAATGCAGAAAATTGAGTTATTGTATTGTACAACTTATTTTAGCTTGTTGTTGTCGATGGACTCAATCTCTCTTTATATCCACAGGTGACCACCAAAAGGGCTCAAGCCTGGTGTCAAAGTAAGAACAACATCCCCTACTTTGAGACCAGTGCGAAGGAAGCCATAAATGTAGAACAGGCATTTCAGACAATCGCACGTAATGCACTCAAACAGGTGAGTTACAGGTTAATGGTGTGTGTGGTGTGCTGGTGGTGGGTTTGAAATGGCTTGTTGCATTGTGTGATTGTTGAATTTTAAAAAATCTTTCGGCTTTACTTAACTTCTTTTTTCTTGGTGCCTTGCAGGAGACAGAGGTGGAGTTGTATAATGACTTCCCAGGGCCCATAAAGCTGGGAGGGAATGAAGGACCTAAACCCGCAACAGAAAGCTGCAGCTGCTAAGAGAAAACTTGGACCATCTTCTCTCTTGGCTTTTTGGAAACGCCCTGTCACTGGTTACATCACCTCCACCTCGCTTCCAGGGAAGGGAATTCCCTACTGGTCTTCCTCCTCCATGCCATTGTTCATTCCACTGACACGACCCTTCGCACAATGTGCTGCACATGGATGTGTCCCCCTCACAATTAATACACAAATTAATACACTAGTGTTCTCTTGTAAAATATGTTGACGAGTCCAGCGCCCAAAGATCACACAAGAGAAAAATGACACCCCCCAGCCCCACTCTGACCTCACGGTCCCTGACTTGATCTCCTGTGAGTGATCTCCTGTCCCAGCAACCCATTTGTGCAGATGATGCCCGACATTCATGCTAAGGGGACAAGATGGAGCCATTTTCAGAGTGCAATTGGGAACTCTAGATGTTCTAGCTGATTATCTTTAATGTGAGGCGATGTTGGCTAATGTCAGCATCCCAAGTTTCGCATTCTCTGATTTCTCTTTTTTGCTTTCTTTTGCCTATCTGTCAATGAATAATCTTGCTGAACTATATATACAGATGCATTAATTGGCTGATGATGTTTTTGAAGCCAATCTGAAACACTTTCTTCTTTCTTTTTGCACTTTGTATGTTTTTTTTGCCTTTAAAAATTATACAGGGATGACTGATTTTTGGGCAACGTCTGCTGCCAGATGCCTTTCAAATTAGAATTCCTCACTCTTTCCTTTTTTGATATGTCCTGAGAATTTGTTGAACACTCTGGTAGATTATCTTTGCCTTTGCCCTTCAAGATTGTGCTTAAAGGGTTTATAACTGCCTAAACAGCACAGTAGAAATGTTGTTAAGTAGACTCAAAGTAAAAGCTGAGTCTACTTAATAAGTCAGTGTAGAACATGGATTAATTGTCCCTGATATATTAATATTTGCCTTTTGTGTAACATTACTTGTACTGCTACTATTACTGCTGTATATGTTCTGTCCTTTCATCAGACGTCTTTCATCGCTATAGAATTACAATATGCATCACCAACACAGCTTACACCTGTCTTCTGTCATGTCTTTGTTATTGCTGTTCTATCTATCTGCTTGTAGCTCAGGTTGGCTAAGTACTTAATATTTTTAACGGATTGTGTATTACAGTGTATAGATGGTGAAGGTATAATGGACTGAAATCAAATGGATATTCTATCTTTCCATTTAATGAAAATATCCAGTTATCTGTCCTGGTAGTACTCCTCCTTATAAGAACAAAATTACTGCAATGCAAACATTGTTGTCAAAGAAAATTCGGACATCAAATAATAAAACTCTTGACTATATTAACAGTCTGGCGTTCTGTGTCTCAGTGTATGTATGGTTGATGAAATTCTCAGTTTCTTTTTCCATTCAGACACCCCTCAGGTGTGTAATTGTGTGAAGCCTTAATCACAGATGCAGAGAACTGATATACATTTGTTTTTTTACTTTTTCCATCTACTTTGGCCTTCAGTTCACAAAGTTTGAATTCACTGTAAACCAGTTAGTGTTATTGGTATGGTTTTTTTTTTTTGTTTTTTTAAGTAAATGAGAAAAAACTACTTGTATAGGTGTTGAATGCACTGTGCTTCATGTTTTATCAGTTACTTTTTTAGGTACACCTGTTCAACTACTTGTTAGCTCAAATATCTAATCAGCCAATCACATGGTAGGGCAGGGGTTACTTTGAATGGTACCAAAAGGGCTGATCTAACAAGTTTAGAAACTGAACTACTATAACAGACTAGTGTAATTTTTTTCCACCAAAAGTGAAGCACCATTGGTCAGATTATTCTCTTAAAAGCATCAGCTTGTCCCAAGGTCCAGTTCAGCAGATCAAATTTACAGAGGAAAATTTAGCTGAGCAATCAATTAAAACAGTGCATGACTGTCAAAGCAGCCCGGCCTCTAATTTTATCCATCTGAGTTAGAAAAATCCACCTATTTAGTTGGGCATTGTTTGCCTTACTTTTAGAGGCAGCAAGTGGCCTGTAGGGGCACTACAGCTTCTAATTTTCAGTGGCAATTCCAGTTTTCAAGTTGGAACTAACTCACTTCCTTGTTCACCCATTTCAAATTTCCTGAACTCAAAAGTTTCAAACACAGGATGGAACAATGAACTTCAATGAAAACAGGGTAAATCCCCACAAGATAACTGCAAACATGGCAACTCAGGGTTCAACATGCAGACTAGAGAAGCTGGGGATCTAACTACAGACAATCTGATCCGCTGATGACTCCTAAACCACCCCTCAGGAAAAATGATGGAGGACATAAAAAGTTATTTAGGCTTTTTCCCTGCGCAGCAGTGATAAAGCTTCTGTCCATAAAAAGCATCGTAAAATGCCCCTTCCTCTTTGTGAAATTTTGTCTGGGGGAATATTGACGTCTTTAAATAGACAGTCTATGTTAAATAAATATGCTAGACATCTTTGTGCCAGCGTTGCAGGCAAACATGTCCTGTCACGTTTGTTTTGTGTTGAATAGTTTTTCTTTCATTTGTGACTTGCAGGTCACGCAGCTACCCGTGATTGTCTGATCATACAACAACTATTTCTTGCACCAACAAGCTTGAGGACAAAATGAAATCTGTTGCCATACATGCAACAGATTTCTTTTTTCAATTCTGTCTGACACTACCATCAACTTTTTTCCAACAGACCTTGTGCAGAGTATAAAGACTGAGATATGTTATATGGACAAAATTACTGGACCTCGTTCCCCAAAATCTTTAAATTCAGGTGTTTTCAGTCCCATTGCCACAGCTCAAGCACTGAGACAGGCAGTCTACCTTTAAAAACATTTGTGAAAGAATGGGTTGTTCTAAAGAGCTCTCTGAATTCGAGTGTTGTAACAGCAACAATTCAGTTTGTGAAATGTTTTCCCTCTTAGATGCATTAACTGCAAAATGTAACATACTGCAAAGTGGGCCAAATTAGGCCAGACAAACAGGCTTATAGTTTACTGGTAGAAAAATGCATGCTTGAGCTCTAAAAGAACATTCTGAGTCAGGAATACACCTGTATGCTATGAATCAGCTTTAAGGAAATACTGCTTACTGTCAGAGAGCTGCTGCACTAGTTTTTTCTGTTTTGTCAGTAAAACTATGATTACCGTTTACTACAGATATGACAAAGGTTTGGGTAAAAGTTAAAGCAGCCTCTTATGAAATCTGTCATGAAATGGCTGTGCTGCAGGCAGGATAAGGATCCAGGTGCATAACTTGTGAGACACGAACTCAAAAAAGCTTTAACGCTGGAGTCTTTACATAAAAAAAACACAAAAATAAAACGCAAAACAAGGCAGGGCTAGATCCAGGAATACAAAACTAGGACTCTAGGGGGGAGACACAAGGAACAAGGGAGCACACAGCAGAGAGGGAGGGCACAACAATAAACAGAGAGAGAGTCAGACAATAAATACACACCAGATAATTAGGGAAATGAGAAACCCTGGCTAAAACTGCTCAAGGAAAACAAGAAAAAGGAAGCAATACAAAACACGTGACACAAGAGACTATCAAAATGAAACAGGAAATACCACTGAGACAGTGACTCAAAAATACAAACAATCTAATTTCTCTCTTTCTTTTTTTTTACTTCAAGCTTTGGGCTCTAAAATATATCAGCTGATCACGACACTTAAAGGTAGCAGTACAATATATATTCACTTACTTATTTTCACTTACGTGTTCAAAAAAGATTACACAACAGTTAGATCCAGTTGACACACTGGGTGTGGCTGAGCCACGGCTTAGATCAGTCATATCCAGTGTGGCAAACAAATTCTTTAATCAATGCATGTTGAACAGAACTCATGTTATGTTTGTGATTGTGGTTGTTTTGCATAATTATACCATACAAAGCTTGACAGTGAATTGAAATCTGTGTGCTGTCAGCTTAGTGACACCGAAATCAGCTGAAACATTTGATGTCACCTGGTTTGAGGAGGAGTTGGATTGATTTGCCAAACAGGTTATAAGGTACATGACTGGAATGAGTGGCATTCATACATGATTGGTGCAGGACCATGAAAACGCAACACAGGAAGTCAGGAAAGTATTAGTAACTAAACTCTCTTGCGTTTTGTCTTAATGCAGCTGTGGAAAAATGACATCCAAGAAGAGGGTTCTCCTGAAAGTCGTCCTCCTGGGAGATTCATTGTGAGGTTTTGATATTAATGTATTTTAAATGTAATTTTAAAGTGTGTTACTTCGTCGTTGGCACGAGTTGTTGTTGTTGTGCAATAAGCTGTCGCCAGTCAGAATATTAGCTATGTATCTTGCATGACTTAGTTAATCCTATTGTTTTATGCACAATTATACCTTAGTTTCTGAAATACTGTTTAAGGGAATGTTTAAAACTACTTAATAAAGGTGGTTTAAGTGTGCATAACAACACAAAGCTGTTTATCAGATATCCACAACTGAGAGCGAAACAAACATTTTTCTTGATTGTCAGAGTTGCTTCCTCGTACCAATCACTGCTCTCTCACTCACGTGGATTATTACGTATTTGCACTGATCAAAGATGAAAATGAATTTACTGAATCTATTCTCTTATTATGGATGGATAATATTACCCTACTCTTGTTTTATTTTCCTTTACCACATGAATACAGACAATATAACCAGCTATACTGCTATACAGACCACATGTTAAAATGGTTGGTGATATGCTTGAAGCAGTCATATTTCAACCTGTCTATACTACATGCTGCTTTTATTTAAACTCAACTTGGAATAGAAATTAAAAAAAGCTTTAACCACATTCATAAATCTGTTGTGCTGCTGTTTCTTTTCTCAGTGTTGGGAAGACCTCCTTAATGAACCAGTATGCCATCAAGAAGTTTAGTAACCAGTACAAAGCCACAATAGGAGCAGACTTCATGACGAAGGAGGTGATGGTTGGAGACCAGGTTGTTGTATTGCAGGTGTGGCATAAAAAGTAGATGGACTCTTTGATCATATGAGGACAAATGAAGATTTAATGTTTAAAGCTTCAAGCACAGCTTTATTGAGAAAAGACATTTCCAGGTCCTTAGTAGGACGTTGTTGTTCTGCATTATCTCTAGTCTTGGTGTCCTGGTGCGAACTGCGTTTCTCTTTCATTGCCTAGATCTGGGACACAGCTGGCCAGGAGAGGTACCAGTCTTTGAATGCTGCCTTCTATCGTGGAGCAGACTGCTGTGTGCTGGTTTTTGACTTGACAGCGCAAAAAACCTTCAAATCGCTTGACAACTGGAAGGAAGAGTTTCTGTTCCAGGCCAGCCCTCGAAATCCCGAGAACTTCCCATTTGTGGTGCTAGGCAACAAGATTGACTTGGAAAACAGAGAGGTTGGTATGAGATTCCTGAGACAAAAAGGTCCGGGTTCAGTATGTTTGTTAGAAGGCTGTCTCTGCCATAGCATAGATAACTTTACTTCCCAGTACTGGTATTGAATTTCCTATCAGAAAGAATGCAGGTGCTTTACAGCTCATGATGGTAAACGAAGTGCTCGTGTTTTAAAAGATTAGCTGATAGATGTATGTTGACTAAAATGAAGCCTGATGGGAGTGTTTGTGTTTCTATTAAATTACTGCCTCAAGTGTTATTGACCGACTGTCTAAATCACACTTGATATTATTTAAAAACACTGATGAATGTACCTGAATGAGCAGACATCAGGGGACAGAAATCAACTGACCAGGTAAAACTGTATAACATAACATTTGCCTGTTTTTATATAAGAAAGCAATTAGAATGATCTCTTAGGAAATACTGCTAAATATTATAGTAAGACGGCTGGAGCAGTAAACTTTCTGTTGTGTTAGTAACAATGTGATGACTGTTTACATGCCACAGATATGACTAAGGTAAGGGAAAAGATAAAGCAGCCTCTTATGAAATCAAGGTTGATTTTGTCTCTCAAGTCTATTTATAAATGGATAAGATTTAAACATAAACTTTCAAGACTCTCACATATTTTTTGTGAAAAAACACTATTTTTTTCTGATATGTTTCATAAATGAAAGCAGAGTAAAACCTTTTCTAGTGTCTGTCAATCAAAGCAAGGAAGGAAAGTCCAAAGCACTGAGTGCGGTAGGGTTGGAAGAGCCAGATCTTCTCATTCAATTTAATTATTTCTCTGTTAAACCTTCTCTTAGTTTTAAAATGTATGCTAAGCTGTAGGTCCATCTTGCATGCCATGTCAGCCTGAGCAGGGACAATAGAGCGAGTTCCAGCGTTGGTGGGAGTTTAAACTAAAGAAACTGAGGCTGACACAGATATTAGGTTGCAGTGATTGGAGCTGATAAGCTCTCGTTCTGCTACTGTAGGTGCACAGGTGTCTCCTGTGGAAATATTCACCCAGTTCGAGTGTTTTCTGAGAACAGAACTCAAACCTTTTTCACTGAATTCAAGTGCATAGAGGTTTCGCTGCACTGGCCTCAGCATGTGTGAGCCATAATGCTGCAGTGTGAATTTACAGATAAGTCCACGGAAGCTTGTTCTGCCTTTTCTGCTGAGTACGGTCTGGTTTATAAAAAGCTCAGACACCATCCTTCTGCCTGACGCCTACTGATGGTGTTTTAGAAGTCTCAGATAAACAGCTGGTCAAAGCTACGATCATTTTACCAGAGAGAAGAGAAACTTGAACTGCTGGTGCTCTGCATCTAACGCTACTGACGTGTGATGTTTATTTGGCTGCCACTTTGGATGTGTGACAATAATTGTGACTACATAAGGTCAAGGGTCAAGATTTCAACATCCTAGTCACACAGCCCTAAAGACTGGTTAGTGACCCTCTGGCAACTTCTGGTCCTGAGGGCTACATGTACATCCTTCAGGACATGGAGCTACATGTGTATCCGCTGACCAAAAGCCTCCTTGAAATTGTTTCGGTTGCTAAAAGATTGCGAATACTAGGAAGCTCTCCAAAGGACAACAAAAAACTGGAAATGGGCATGGCAACATGTTGGTTAAACTTGTCTTTAAACTAAGATAAAAGCCCAAAGATAAACAATACAGCTGGTTTGTGGAGATTACTGCACAAAGTTTTTGTGGGATGGGAACCTCCCATCTCATGGTGCCTCTTGCTGTTTGCAGTCTTGCGTCACAAATCCAATCAGTGGCAGTGACAGCCTGTATATTGGTTTTTCAGCTGCTGCTGAAGAAAAAGCTCCAGCACTAGGGGAGCTCTTTACTCATACTCTCTGGAGAGGAGGGTGCGTTTGATCATTTTACATCTCTCATTCTTTTGTATAGTAATCAACTGCTAAGTTTTATTTTGTTTATTTATTTTGTTTTTATTTTGATAGCAGTTTGTCCATCTTTTAGTTTAATTAATAATTAAAAGAAAATATATTTCTGCTCTTAAAAGTGCCTCCTTCACTATTTTTCTGCCTCAACACTTCTTCTTCCTTTTTCCGCGTCCGCTGGACGTCTCAGGGGACACAACAGATGTGTGAGAAAGGAGAAATTACAATACTGAGCAGAGGGAGTAAAGGCTATGGCTATTGGCTAAAGGCTATTGTATGGGATAAATAAAGATGTTTGTTTCTTGCCATTTGTACATAGCTTAATAAACTAGTGTTTTAAACATAGCTGATGTCCATAAAGTGTCACAAAGTAATCTCAAAGTTTAGAAATTCGTCAGTCTATTGGTAGACAAATTGTCTATAAAGGCAGATAGTTTAGCACTTAGGCTAACTGACCTAGTTGTGGGCCCACAACTAAAGATAAGAAGATAAGAATAGTGTGTCTATCTGTACTTTTGACTTAAACATTGGATCATACTTTATGACCAGTTAATACAGAAAACTGAGCATTTACAAAGTGTCCACACTGTTCTGACAAATCTGCAGCAACCGTGTGATTGTGTCAAATCAGAATGAGCAAGAATCTCGGAGGAATATTTCCAGCACTTTGTTGTTATAAAGAGATAAGGCAGTTCTGAAAGCAAACAGGGGTCCAGCCTGACACCCTCCTGTGAGTATAATTTAGATGATTATTAATGATATTGTATATCCACAGGTGACCACCAAAAGGGCTCAAGCCTGGTGCCAAAGTAAGAACAACATCCCCTACTTTGAGACCAGTGCGAAAGACGCCACAAATCTAGAACAGGCATTCCAGACAATTGCAAGTAACACACTCAAACAGGTGAGTTACAGTTTTATTAAATTAGGGGAAAAATGTTGGTTTTGGAATATATTGTGGCATTGTGTGACCATTGACTTTTCAAAACTCTGTTGGCTTTTTTTTCAGGTCTCACAGGGGACAGATGTGGAGTTGTATTATGACTTCCCAGAGCCCATAGTATTTGGAGAGAATGATGAATCTAAGTCTTCAGCAAAAAGATGCAGCTGCTAAGGGAAAACTTTAACCATCTTCTTTCTTAACTTTTTGGAAACACACTGTCACCTTGGTTACATCACCTCCAGGGAATGGAAACAGCCTACTGTTCTCCCTCCTCCATGCCATTGTTTATTCCATCAACACTACCCTTCACACAATGTGCTGCACATGGAAGGGCCCCCTCTATCTTTATAAACAAATTAATACACATTTCTAGCATCTCTCGCAGGAATCATGGGGTAACCTTTGACCGATTTTTCACTTTGAATGCTCGCATTAAATCTCTGGTTCATCTTTGCTTCTATCACTTTAAATCGATTAAGAAACTGAGTCAAACTCCACTGTGTCATGCTCTGAACTGGACTGAATATTTTTCATGTCTTTACTTCATTGGGTTTAAGTTGCTCATTTGTTTTGATGGTTATTATCTTAACAAGACTTCCTTGGAACTTTGAAGCTTGCACCACTGACAAACTCTTGTAAATACTCACATATCACACTGTTGCTAATTCAGCTGAACTGACTCCCGATGAACTTCCATGTACATTTTAAGATTTTTATTTTATTTGATTCGTTTTGATTTATTTTGATAATAAACAAGCATCAGTGTACATCAGTGTGAACTTTTGCATCCATATATCTCCAGCATGTCCCAGAGGTCATGTGATCAGGGCTTGCTGGCTCTGCAGCATACAAAGATAGAGATAGAGTACAAAAGACATCTCTCCCTCTGAGCCTGAGATCTGTGGACTTGGTGGATTAGTTTTTAAAACTTAGATTTATAAACTTGTTTTGGAGTAATTTTTTTGCTCTCATGTTTTAGTATTTTGTTGTTAAAAATTGTGATATTTATCTTAAAAGATCCTATGTACATTTTTTTTTTTTTTTGCTATATTTTAAACATGGTCTTTAACGCTATTTAGCATTGTTTTAACATGGGAGACTGTCAGGTTTGACTTGCTTTACAAGACACCATCTAGTGGCTATTAGAGGAACTGCAATTTTGGCACTTTGCTTTAGCTAGAGGTGTTTAGCGTTCATCCTTCCACAAAAACCACTACTACTCTTCCTGCTTAAACGTTTTGATAACTCAAAATACAATTTTGCCACACTTTTTCGTATATCACTTGTATCATATTAAAACGTGATGATCATGATCTTATCATTAATGATCATGCTGTGAGTGGTTCTATTTGTTGACTCCCACATTAAGGGTGGTGGGACTGGATATCAGGGCCTTTCTATCACCATGTTAACAAAAGTAATATAGTCAGTCCAGTGACACACTGATACATATATTTTCATGCTTTTTATTTCAGTGTAGTCATAATACTCCTGAACTCAAACTCTTTCATTTGCCGGTGAATAATAGGAATTTGCACTATTAATGACTGTTTTTGAGCCTCCTTGACCTTAGGATGGATTTTAATGTAATGTACTTGCATTTGGAGCGTTTCTACTGACCACTCAGAGCACTTTAGACTAAAAGTCACATCTTAACCAAACATTTCTGCAGTGTTTTATTCTATACAATTCAAGCACTTCTCACATCCACAGCCACTTTAGAATCACCAACTAACCTAAAAAGCATGTCTTTGGACTGTGGGAGGAAGCCGGTACAGGCACAGTGAGCACATGAAAACTCCACACAAGTAATATTGCCACCACCTGTGAATTGTGATGGATAGTGAGATGGATGGGCTACTACGTCACTTACGTTCTCGCTTTTTAGTGGCAGATGTGGCCACTTGGGATAAATTCACTTCTGGCAAAAGACCCAATTCACACACCTACGGTCATTTTAGAGTTGAACATTAGCCTAATCCCACACATGTCTTTGGACTGTATGCAGTTACCTGGAAAGAATACTGAAACTCAACAGAGAAAGGCTCTAGGCCCTTCTTGTTATGAGGCAACAGTGCTAATCACTGCATCACCAAGCCTGTGAAGATGAATTTTCTGTCTCTATTTAGCTCAGTGACAGATTGGTAACCTGTCTATGGTGTCTATGACAGCTGGGCTAGGCTCCAGTCCCTCCTACCACCCTGAATTGGATAATCAGATGAAATTGGATGGATGGGTGCAAAACACTAAAAAGTTAGAAAAATAGCAATAGGTTCTCCTAACTTTATAGAAAAAATGGAAATCACCCAGAATAACTGCTAACATGTTGGAATGGCCTTATACAACAGAACAATGCATCCTGTTGCAGACAGGCCTCGCTCACATAAAAGCATTTCTTTTTATCCATGTTCAAAATAAGCATAGGGCTTACTAAAGTGTGTGTCACTGAGCAGTACCATGCAGTACTGTGTATTACCAGAACTCTCAAACTCTGAAAAAATAGAATTGGAAAGGAATCAAATGAGCATCTGGTATTCTTGTTCTGCTTTCCAGGCAAAGCAAGAATACCGGAAAAAGCAGTAATAGCCGCAGGCTCTTCAGGCGTTACTGACAACTGCAAAAGCTGCATTCCAGTTAGGTAAGCAATTATAGCTGCTTTACTGGAATGACTTACCATTTAAGGAAACTAAAATACTAGCTGGGATTAAATTCTAATTTGTCAAAGGTTTGACAGCGTTTCTAGTAGATAATGGCAGATGGTGTGAGCATAAATTGAGGCAATTTAGGATTTGAACAAACAGCTTGTAGTACACAGGGTCATATATAGACAGAGAACCGGAAGGGGCATGTATGGAGGTGTGGTCCCACTCCTGAAGATATATCATCTCCATTTCCATTTCACATTACGGTGCATTATAATGTTGGTAGACGTTAATTAGCTACAACAGACACTCACTTTGCTTTCCTTTTTAACGTAATAGTTTCGATATACATGAAAACCTGAAAGGTGTGGTTTGTTGTGTTAACTAATTATCGTGGAATGTTCAGATTTGCAAATTGATGATGATTACTCTCAAGTCATGACAAACAGCTCATGATACACTTCTACATAAGTAATGCTACACTTCCTTTATAAATTATAAGTATTATTATCGATACTGGTATCAGCCATACTGGCCCTGTATTTGCTTGGTTACAGATCGACAGTATCATCACAGCGGCGGCAGCAGCGGATAATTTCCGGAATATTCACAGAAGAGACTCCGTTAGTGCAGCTACTTCCGCCTTTAGCCGCCTCTCCTGACACTGAGAAATGGTAAGAGAAATTAGACATATGTGCTTATGAAACGACATAGCTGAATAGTCGTACATATTCGGCGTTGTGGGTTTTGGGTTTGTAGCCGTTCGTTAACGGAAAATGCACCCATAAACGGATTTTGTTACTCCCCATTTGTGACACTTAGAGTAGCTAGGTGACCGGGATTGCTAACAGGCTAATTTTAGCCAGCTAGTTTTCTTGCTAAAAGAAAAGGCAGATTGCTGTTTGGTTATAGTTCATGCTGATGGTGTGAACAGATAGGTCCTTACTCTGTAGTAATATTAATTGTTAAATAGCGTACAGTGCTGTCTGCGGTGTTGAAAAGGGAGGGTTGCATCTGGCGAGCTGGTTGTCACAGCTGACCTGATGTTATGTTTGATAAGGAGAGATTTAGGGTGGAGGTGCTGCACCCTCTGGAGCTTATGTAAAAAAATATTCTATTGCTAAGCCATGTTGCATATTTGAATAAAAGCTTTTAACATTTTTATTTGTCTTACTGACTTTTGTAGGGCATGTGGCAACACTCACCGAACACTTTTTAGGCACACTTTGCTAGTACGTTTTGCTTCAGGTGTGCCTTGAATGTTAATAGCACAGATTGAACAAGGTGCATTCATCACAGATTTTGGGCCATGTTGGCACGGTGGCATCACACAGTTGCTGCAGGTTTGTTGATTGCATGTTCTTGATCCAAGCCTTCTATTACACCGCATAAGAAAGGTGCTCTACTGGATTCATATCTGATCTCTCATCATGTTCACGAAACCAGTTTGAGATGTTTTGAGCTAGGAAACATGGTGTCTTATCCTGCTCGAAGCAGTCATCAGAAGATGGGTACATTGTATACAACAATACCTGGGTACTCTCTGTGGGATTTAATATTCTCTTGTCAGTTGGTGACAAGAGAATATTCTCATGCCATCACGCCACCAATGACACCAGGCTGGATGGATCCATGCTCTCATGTAGTTTACCTCAAATGTTGATGTTACCATCTGACTGTTGAAACTGTCAGCAGCAATTGAGACTGATCAGACCGGTAAAGCTTTTCCAGTCTACCGTTGTCCAATTTGAGGTTTTTTGTGTTGTTGTTTTTTTGTGTTGGTTTTTTTTTTTTTTTTAGTTGTTGCCTTCCTATTAGCTTGAAGCACTGTGGCCAGTCACCTGACCTGTGGCATCAGCAAAGCATTTTCACCCAGAGAACTGCGGCTCACTGTATATTTCTTTTCCTTCTTTTTTTCTTTTTTTTTTCTTTTTGGACCATTTTCTGTAAACCCTAGAGATGGATGTGTGGGGAAATCTCAGTCAGTCAGCAGTTTCTGAAATACTCACTTAAAACCTCCTTCCTTCCCCACTCAGATGCTCAGTTTGAACTTGAGCAAATTGCTCGACCAGGTCTACATGACTAAATGCACTGAGTTGCTGCCATGGGACTTGCTAATTAAATATTTCCATTAACAAGGAGCTAAACAGGTGTACCTAATAAAGTGATCAATGAGTGTATGCTGCATTGTGATATTGATGACTTTGATTTATGGATGTGATCAGAGGATAAAGTGAACAAAGTCATTACCATTTTTTGGCAGTTAAAAAATATACAATATAAAATAAAATAAAAACATGTTTGATGAGGATCCCTTAAGTGTCATCAAACACTATGTATCTCATTATGGGCTAACTCGCCAACTGAAAATCCTACTTTGGTTTTCAACTGGGTTTAGATCTGGTGAGTGCAAATGCCATAACATATGACTCACATCATTTTTAATACTGAGCAAACAATTCAGCCCTTTCATGCTCTTTGGATGGAGCCACAGTCATCCCCGAAAACCCCGACCATGTTAGGAATGTTTTCTTGGTGTACACATACATATGGTTAAAGATGACTCGCTTGACCACATCCATTCTAATCTCTCACAATTTATTTCTAATAAGGGGTGAAATTCTCATTAACCCTACTATAACATCTGTCTGTCACATCACATTGTCATCCCCAAAAGGAAGTTGCTAAATTGCAGTTGCTGACAACTTCCTTTTGGGGATGTTTTTACAGTAGATTTAAATAAATCTCCTGTCGTCCATGTGCCAAAAATGAATCAGTGTCACTCAGAGCTACCTGCGTTACAACAGCTGCATGTATTATGTTGGTTTCCCCCTTATTGATTGAGATTTTATATATCTTCTACACCAGCATCAGTAGTGGATTTCTTGGTGGTTTCTTTCTCCTGTTATGGATACCTTTATCTTGGTGTTAATGACAGGACTGTATTTTGACTTGACATACCTTTTGAACATAAGCAAGTATTGCAAGCAGGAGAAATTGTATGAAACACTCATGACCTCTCATTGTCCAGTCACACTTGGCTGTACCTGGGAATAGACAGACATGGTTAAGAAAATATTCTCTTGTTTTTTTTTCTTCGATTTTCACTCTCAGACAGCAACGTTGCGCCCGTATCTCA